TTAGTGAAGGAACGATACACTGATCAATTACAATCCATCAATGAAAGTCTTAAGTCTTAATGAAATTGGTCATTAAACTATTTCAGCCTAGCTCAATATAATGCAACAAGTCACAAGCATCTAGTGCTTACTAGCAGAGCTGTTGCATAAACAAAATGTTTATGACTTGAAATGACTTGACTTATGACTTGACTTGAAATTTTCACCAAATGTCGGTAACAACCCAAGTAATCCATACAAAGAAAACAAAACAACCAAGTTTAGAAATTAAGTTATGTGTAATAAAATGGAATGATACAGGGAAAAAGTATTGAACTACTGAAATGTATTTAATACATTGTATAAAAGCCTTTGTTGGTAATGACAGCTTCAAGACACCCCCTGTATGGAGAAACTAGTCGCATGTATTGCTCAGGTGTGATTTTGGCCCATTCTTCCACAGAGTCTTCAAATCTTGAAGGTTATGTGGGCCTCGTTGAGTCCCAACACCTACAGTACCAGGATGATGAAGATGAAACAAGGGTGGACATTTCAGCAAGACAATGATCCCAAACACAGGAAATAAAGCTGCTAGAATGGCCCAGCCAATCTTGAGTCCAATAGAAAATAAGAACTAAAGATCAGAGTTCATAGAAGAGGTCCACAGAACCTTCAAGATTTGAAGACTGTTTGTGTGGAAGAATGGGCCAAAATCACACCTGAGCAATGTATGCAACTAGTTTCTCCATACAGGAGGCGTCTTGAAGCTGTCATTATCAACAAAGGCTTTTGTACTAAGTATTAAATACATTTCAGTAGTTCAATACTTTTACCCTGTGTCATTCCATTTTATTACACAGAACATAATTTGTGAACTTATTTGTTTGGCTTTCTTTGTATGTATGGATTACTTGGGTTGTTACCGATATCTGGTGAAAATTTCATGTCAACAGCACCTTTAGAAATATATTTACTGAGAAAATGGTGACTTGTTCAATACTTATTTTACCTACTGTAAATGATGTGGAGAGTGTTTGCATATTGATCAGATGCTTCAGTGCTCTGAGAGTGTTTATAGTGCTGTGAGTTTAACACTTCATGACTGAGAGCTTTTCTCTATTTTAACTGAAAGAGCAACCAGCAAGAAGATGATGATCATCAGCGTCTGTATCTGGACATTCATTCTTTCTGTCCAAGGTTCATTTACTCGATAACTCAAAATGTGATTTGTATGCATGTTTTAATGGTAAACTTGCTTTTTTTTCTACTGGATACTCTAGTAACTGAAATGTCATTCACAGAAACTGCAGGACAAATTTCTGTGACTCAGTCTCCCTCAGTAGCAGCTGTTCAGCCAGGAGAAACAGTTACTATAAACTGTCAAACTAGCAGAGGAATTGGAGATCGTTCCAAGGGTTGTAGAGACTGTCTCGCCTGGTATCTGCAGAAACCTGGAGAAACTCCTAAACTCCTCATTTATGACATTAGATCACGGCAGTCAGGAACTCCATCTAGATTCAGTGGCAATGGAGCAGATTATGGAACAGATTTCACTCTGACCATCAGTGGAGTCCAGACTGAAGATGCTGCACATTATTACTGTCA